TGCAGTTCCATGTGCAGCCATGTCATTTCCTTGGACATGTTGTAGACCCAATCGATGGCTGAAAGCCATCCTTAATCCTTCTGTTGACGTGTCAGAACCTCTTGGGTTGGAGAACAACTATTAGAACTGATCGGAACTGATCAAAGGCAAGCTGAGTTTGGAAGCTCTTCTACGCCTCCAGGGAAACCCAGGCATGTGTTGCACTGATTTGTTTTCCTAGTGCACGGTTTTTGCGGGCCACCCACACCTCTAACTTCCTTGGCCTGCGACTTCCGCAGCCGCACTCGATGCCAGCTTCAGGTATGCGGTCCTTCTCCTGGGGATTGCCGGGCCCTTGTTTTTGAACACCATTTGGCTCTCAATGGCCAACTTGGTCAACAAGGGTGAGGACCGTCAAGACTACTGGTGGTTTGTGCTCTTCTTCGACAATTACTTCATGATTGTCAAGGGCACCATGTTCACAGCGTTCTTTTACGAGTTTCTGCCTAAACCGCAGGGAGGTCGCAAGCGCTGGACGTTCCTGCTGCTTGCAATCATGTGGCCATTGTTTTCATTCTTGATCCATATGCTTTGGCTTGCAATGGGCACAACCACCTGGGGCACAATGAAGTTGAACTTCCCCGTGGGGGCATCTGCCGCGGTTTTTGCCTGGATGCCGATTTGCATCATGCAGTACTCCAGGGAGGAGCGGCGCTTTGCAATCCTTCGCTTTGCCGTGATTGTAGTGACCCAGTTGCCCAGGGCGGCCTTTTGTTTGCTCTTTTTGAGCGGGTGTTGGGGTAGCGATTTCCCCGTAAAAGCAACCAACGAAAATGGGGGGGAGGTGGCGGCTTCTGATTCTGAGGTGGTTTTGGTGGCGGATCTGCTGTTTGTTAGCTCGTCCCACGCGATCATGATGCTCTTCAAAGCCTACAGGGCTGGGGAGTTTGGCTCGCCTCAGGAGGGTGTTTCCCAAAATGAGTCATGAACTTGCCAGGTTTGGTCTCAAGTTTGGTTTCCCTTTCAAGTCCCAAGCTTTTGGCGCTTCCCTACTTTAAGACAAAACCAGGACACCAACCTTCGACTGCTGATGGAACTGCTGTGGGTGTCCGCGTTTTCGCAAATATACCTGCCTTTGCTGGCAAAGGTTTGGCAAATCGGGCTGATTCTGTTTGACACCTTAGCACCATTGGATGACTTGCAACGGCACGCCATGCTGTACTTTGCCACCGTGATGATGGACATGCACAGGTACATGTACCTCCGAGAGATGCTGACCATGGCGGAATTTGGTGTGGTTGCAGCGATTGTTGTTGTGAAGGATATGCTGCATGATGTCTACCAGTTTGGCATCAGGCAGGGCATGAGTATTCTGCATGACTTCCCTGAAGGAAATAAGGCTTTGCTTTTCGATGGGTGCATGGTATAAGACGCATGCTGGGTATCATGCGCAGGTTGGACCAAAGTATCATTGCCATGTTCGCAGATGTGCAGCTAGGAATGCCAAGGTCCGACTTTCCGAGGCCTAAACTTTCCGGCTAACGAACTCCCCCACTTTTCCAGGTCGGCCCCTGCTCTCCAGTCCTGCGAGTTGATGAAGATCCCCCTTTGGCACACCTGCCTGGGCATCGGCGGAAAGCACTGGTCCAGCTCCAGGTGGTTGGAGACGGCGGGGTGCCTCTTGCAGCCCTTGGCCAACTTCCTCGAGCTGCCCAAGAGGCAGGGAGTCGATGGTGGCTGGCCAAGTTAGCTAGCCAGGGACAGGCAAGTTTGACTTCTAATTTCCAGGATTTTGGCTCGGCTATGAATTGAGCAACCCCCGAAAAACACTCGAAGACTGGGGAAGTACACGACAGAGGTCAGCTTGGACTGGGCTGCCAGCATAAAATTGACCTGTACGACTGCACTCTCTAGTCAAGCACCGAGCCCCATTTTCTCCCTCACACTGCGAGGTACGCCACCATGTTCACTTGGACTATCGATGCGGGATATCCGCATGAGACTGAGACCTGCGATTTCTATTTCGCGGAAACAAAAGTGCAAATCACGAACATGCCAGCAAAGTTCGACCAAGCTTTCAAGCACTGGACTGCCAAGGGTGAGAAGAGGCAGGAAGCCTTGGCCGAATTATTTCAGGGCACCCCGTTTGACGTGGCCTTGGCCTTCGATGCCATGGACAAGAGCACTGGCGAATGGGGCAAGGTTTGGGATGGCTTCTCGGACCGCTTCAAGCTCTACCAGTTGTTGACCATCCAGCTCGGAGGAATCATGTTCTGCCGCTTTTGGTCCCGTATTACCATCAAGCTGGCTAGCAGCGTGATGATTCTGGCCGCGGGCGTGATGATCAGGCTCAGTTCGTCGAAGGAGGTTATGAACTTTATGCGTGACTTCTCACAGCCAAGAAGTGCAAGCACATGGATTCTTTGCATAGGCATGGTTGTGTGCGACTTGCTGGAGCCCTGGCTCGATGGAACTTCTTTGACACTGCTTTTGGTCTTTTCCAAAAAGCACAGGGACGGTGGGTTTGTCAAATGCGGGTGTGTGCCTAGTAAACTTGCCTTTTATGCCAGACTTGTAGATCTTGAGCAGCGATCATATTCAATTTGTGCATTGCACTCCACAAGCACCAGTCGTCCTCAAGGGCACGGTCCACTTGATTTTGGTGTGTAAGACGTGGCTGTGTCTCTCTTCAGAGTGGCCATTCTCGAAGGAAGGGCATCCCCACATGTTGCAGCTTGTTTCGCGACACGTTTTGATTTGAAAGTGGAGCTATGTGAATGATTGTTTAAATGATGGCTTTGACAGATGCCCACAACGGAAATCGGACTTCCCAAGAGGGCCGCAATTTTTAACACCTGAGTAGTTTGGGGGCAAACCCAATTATACATGATACAACTAAGAGCGGATATCCACCCTTTTAGTTGGTTGCAAGTGTTGGGCAGCCACCTTCAGTACCAGCTTCAGTTTTGACTCTGGCGCAATTGACTCAATGTATGGAGAACTCGCACTTTAGCCGCATCGCAAAGGAGTTGTGCTTGGTGAGTTTCCTGCAGCACAGCGAGAAGGCCATCATGGATTATCGGCTGAGACGCTTTGCCCGGCTGTTTCAAAGCCGCGTTTTGCTGGGCATCCTTCTGAGCTGCCACGTTTGCTGCAACAGCGATGTTTACATTACCTTTTCCAAAATGAAGTTTTAGATTTTTTACGTTTGCAGGGCTGTGCACTCCCTTTGAAAGGAGGATACGAGTGTCAACGTTCCCAAGCCCTGTAAATTCGAATTTATCATGTTTTCCTATTGCCACCTGGCCGGTTCCTTTTGGCCCGTTTCAGAGACTTGGGATAGGCGCCTGGGAGGCGCTGTTCTGAGTTCCTGCTCCCAAGCCAGCAAAGCTAGCTTATGGGGAGAATTTGTGGGGCTCAGGCCTTGCAATGGCAATCCCAAGAATGTCCAATCTCAAGCATGCAACATGTTGTGACTCTACAAGGACTTGTAAGCGAAGCAGCGAGTTCAGCCAGCAGCACGGAACCTCAAGTCTGGGTTGTTCTATGCGTTTAGTTTAGTATGTGCTGCAGTTGGCAGCAACCCTTGGGCTCGAGTTTTGTGTCATGGATTTTCTCAGTTTGTTTGCTGCGAGCTCGATGATCCAGTTTAGTTCTTGTGCCATGCTGCTGCTGGCAGGCAGTTTTTGTGCAAGCAGGACAGTATTGAATGCCAGGCAGGCCACAAGCACAAGCATGCATGCGCACAAACAGACAGAAAGACAAACAAACAAGCAAACAAACACACACACACACAGACACACACACACACAGACACACACACACACAGACACACACACACACAAGCAATCAAGCAAACAAACAAGCAAACAAGCAAGAAAACAAGCAAGCAAACAAACATACAAACACAAAGAAAAACAATAAAGACATAAACAAAGAAAGAAAGACATAAATGAAAAGAACGGCAATGAATGAACTCAAGAAACAAGAAAGTAAGAAGCACACAGTAAAACAAGCAAAATTACCAACAAACAAGCAAACAAACAACAAGAAAGCAAAATAACAAGCACACAGGATACAACTGCTCTGCATTTGACAAGGATTCAAGCGGAGCTTGACGCGCAGACTGGTGTATGCGTGTGTTTGTGTTTGTGTTTGTGTTTGTGTTTGTGTTTGGTTCGTGTTCGTGTTCGTGTTCGTGTTTGTGTTTGTGTTTGTGTTCGTGTTCGTGTTTGTGTTCGTGCGTGCGTGTGTGTGTGTGTGCGCGCGTTTGCGCGCATGCATGCTTGCGTGCATGCCTGCGTACGAGCGCGAGCCTGCGCAAGGGTGCATGTGGGCGCTCGCGTGGTTGTGTATGTGTGTGTGTGTGGTTGCTTTCTCGCTTGCTGGTTTGCGTGTTTGCTGTTTGCTTGTGTTTCTTGGTTTGCTGCCTCTTTGCTTGTTGTCTTGCTTGTTTGCTTGTTTTTTGCTGGCTTGCATGCCTGCCTGCTTGCTTGCTGTGCATTGTGTTTATGACGTGGAGGTTGGTTGGCGCTGTTGTCTCCTATCATCGTGTTGATCCCGGACTCCCGGACTAGTAAACACAGTATTCCCTCAAACATCGCCTATTGATCCACCAGGTTGATTACTCTGGGGTCGAGCCAACGGCAGTCGACAGTCGGTTGCTTGTGTTTGAACTCCTGATTGTTTTCTCTATTCGCCTGTCAAGGTTGACACAAGACCATTTTCATTCAGGGACGAGCGTTGGTCGGATGCCCATGCGGCGACATCAACTATGATTTGCGTTTGTTGCCCCAGCGCCCGGGCTATTTACTACAAACATCGTGACTTTCCAATCCAATGATTGGGGTCAAGTTCGCACCATGAGACGCTACTGTGGACGGACAGAATCCTGCACCGCCTAAGGAACCCTGGAGTGATGACCCCCTTGTAAAAACCGACAAACAACGGTTTCCCATGGGTGGTGCAGGATTTCGTCCAGCCGCAGTATATCAGTGACATGCCAGCGAGGATGCCCTCAGGTTGTCTGACGGTGGCTTGGCCCTCCCCGGTGGACTCCGCGACGGCATCTGCCAGCTACTCGAAGAGGCAACCAAGTGGCAGATCCTGGCATGGCGCGGTTGGTTCGAAACATGCAGTTTTGCCTATGGCACGGCTTCATGATTTTGGAGCTTTCACAGCTGCTTCCACAAACTGATTCTTTTGCAGCATGCGCAGGAACACTTTCAGTCTCACGCTTGCCTGAATCATACCTTGCTGTCGGGGTCAAACGTCACGCATCACAGGGAGACACTCGCTCGTATGGAAATCCATGAGTATTGTCTACATTGGCCAATCCACTCAATTGGTTGCACGCACGGTTGCGAGCTGAATGACTTAATCTGTGGGCCAAAAGCACTGGCATTCAGCTTCGATTCTGAGCGGGCCTGTAGCCTGCGCAGGTCTGGGAAGCTGGTGGTCAAGGCGAATCGTCAGACTGGGTGAGTCGCTGAAAACGCCGTCAAGCTTCCTGGGGCTGGACCAGCTTTGTTTCCCTATGCATGCCGAGTTTGCTTTGGCTGTTGGGGACCTTCCAAAGCGATCCCTTACTCGCAAAATACGGAAGTCCTTGTGGAGGATTCTTCCATTGGGGTATGGATTGACGGTTGTCTCTTGGGCGATATTTTGCGACTGTGTGTGTGTGTGTTTGTGTGTCGTCGAGAGTGAAGAGGTGGAATGATGCAAGGCCCCCTGAAACGAATTTGCTGCGGTGCTGTGAATCCAGTCGCAGCTGAATTGGACCATGGTGGTATTCATGTGGTATTCTGCACAAAGAGGTGCCAACGTCCTCAGCGACCGTTTGTAGAGGCACACGGCTTTGGGGAAAGCAGGCGTTGCGTTCTTTTCCGTGAGATTCATGGCCGGGAACTTGCACTGCAATGGGGCTCAAAGAAGGCAGGAGTAGCTGCCTAGGACGTTCCAAGACTCCGTACTCATGCAGCCTGCCTGAAACAGTCAACATGTCCCCTGGTCAATTTGTTGGACTGCATGGACCAGTTCAGGCTCACAACGAGTTGTAAGCCTGAGCTGTTTTGTTGGCTTGGTTGTGCTAGCAAGTGTTTTTGAATGATCGTCCTCAACAGCCATATTTGCCAAGGCACGCTCCAAGAAAGGTCGGGCAATGCTCGACTACCGTTCTATTCTGTGTCTTTGCTGCATATCAGGCATGATCTTGAGCTCATACGGTGACGACCTTCGTGTGTTTTGTTTCTCCACGTCACACGTAACATGGACCACTGGAAGGCATTAGGTTGGACAGTTTGGCAGTTGCGAATTCATGCTCGGGTACGTCCTTGCTTTAGTTCCAAGCACCCGCACCCACCACACGCCTGTTCAGAGTAGTCTTGCTCACAGCTGACTGCCGGTGCATGCGGTCCGCTTTGGCCCAACAGAATCTTGAATGGCTTTTGCGAAAAAGCTGCCAAGGTGTACTCGTGGGTTCATGGTCGGCCACTGAGGCCTGTCTTGCAATATGGAAGTGCGCCACTGACTTGAAAGATAACTTTATTATTTCAACTGGGAGCCACTCAGAAGGGAAGCACCGAGAGCGGATCAACGTATCAGGCCATGTCAGCCCCCCGGCTTTCTACAAGTCGTGAGACGGGGCGTGTGACAGTTCCTCAGAGCTGGGCTTCAAGGAGCCAGTTTGAACCTGGCAGGACCATTTGGTGCAGGCACTGGCCGAAGATAGCTGCGACACTGCTGCCAGCGGTCTGGCCCTGCTTCAGACTGCAAGCGACTGAGCTGCATCTTTGGCCAGGCATCTGATTTAATGCCCTTGTTGGCGCCAGTTCGCACAGCGCATTGTTTTTTTGTAAAAGTGTGGTTTGCGCGAGGGCTGTGATTTTGCTTTTGCTCCGCCCAACAACTTTATTTCTTTGTGCTGCTAAATGGCTACGACCGGCAATTTGATTTAGACACTCAGCCAGGGAGCAAAACCAAACGCAAACACCGCAACGACCGGGGCAAAGCCCCCGCTAGTAAAAAAAGCACCGGTTTCGTTTGATGGGTTCCCAGGGACTCCTTTTGCCAAACTTAGATTGACGTGGCCTTTGCATGGCTGCGGGCCAACATAGGTAGCGGAGCGAGGTCGTGAAGGGGACGTCGCCAGAGCTTCAACGTGGAGCTCAAGCAGAACATGGTCCAGGACGAGGACATGAGCGCAACAAGGGACGGCTGATGCCAAGGGAAGATCGGCAAGGCGTTTCGAAAACGAAGAAAATATCTGTAGGAGGACAGGTCTTCGCCAACCAGGGTGAGACCGAAGGCGGAAAGAAGCAGGTGATTTATTAGCGGAGGGAGGAACCACGAGTTCCGAGAGTGTGCACGTCCGCGAACCGGAGTTCTGCAGAGATGTCCTCAGTCATGCCACAGCGGACACACTGTGCAACGAGTCATGTGCGCACGGCGGTCAAACTGGAACAAGTTGCTTTTGACTTTGCCTGGGAACATGCAATCAGCTAAGGCCCGGGTCACCAATCCAAGCTGGTGTTGGGAAGCGCTGGTAATGCAAGCCACGGCGCAACGGAAGACGCACGCCTCAACTGTCAAACGCAAGCGTGTGGACTCGCAGCAGCCCATCCTGCCCAGCAACGCGGTCAACCTCGTGGAGGACACTTGGACTTGGGCTGCCCACGCGTGCAGCGCGGCGAAATCATGAGGTCTTCGCTCAACGTCTCACCTTGCAACAAGAAATCAGCGCTGTCAGGAAGGCAAGGTTGTAAGCAAGTTCTTCAATCTGAAGGCGCGCTATCTCGCCACGCCTGCGTGCTGCTGGGACTCAGCTGGCTCAAGCCATCTTGCTCGGCGCACGCAAAGGGTAAGCGGGAGGCGCCCAGCCAGCGCGCAATGACCCATGCCTGCGAAGCCCATGTGTGCAAAGATGCCGCGGGAGGTTTGTTTGCGCGTCTCCGCACAGAGCGGTCAGCAACTGCGGTGCGAAGGCAAGAACTAGCTTGCTCAGATATGGAAAGGAGCTTCTGTAAGGTGGGCTCGGGCCAGGCTACCAGCCCAGCGCGCAATGGAAGAGAGAAAGAGCAGGAAGCAGTCGTCCGAGCTTGTGCTTAACGATGCGTGATGTGCCAGAAACACGAGACCCCGCAGAAGCAGAAGACGAGAGGTGCTCTTCGCTGTCACCAGGCTACGACACGAAGGAAGGCAGGGCAGGGGTGACGTGCGACCGAGACCGCAGCTCGCGCAGGGGGTCCGGCCAATCGCACGATGAAATTTCAAGTCAAACTCCGAGACTGCTGGCTAAAGGCAAGTCAATTCAGCTGTTTCTGTTTGCGCGGCGTGCGCGGAACGCTAGTCGCGCCGTGGGTCAACGCGGCGCAGCTTCGTGAAGGGCAAGCCCAGAATGGCAGATTCGCAGGAGACATACCTGATGGCAGCCCAGAATGCAGCGCAGAACTATATGGAGTATCTGGAGGAGATCCATCGCCTGATGCCCCAGAAGGGCAAGAGAAAGGTGGGTCTTGCCAAAGCGCGCAGGCCGGCAATGCACTCTGTCGGAAACCTCTGAAGGTCGCGAAGATTTTGAGGGTGGACATATAGCGCGAGGGCTGGCTTCAAGAGAGATGGAAGTTAAAGCTCTGATCGATGCGGGTGTCAGCGCCTGCGGTCGCCCACCCAGCAGTCTTTCAACGACAAGTCGGAGGAGCAGCTACACAGGAGCCTAACGCAGGAGAATGATACGACGTGGGCGACAACTAGTACGAGATCAAGGACTAGATGGAGGTTGAGAATCAACAGCAAGAGGCGCGCAGAACAAGCTCTTTGTGGCGAAGCTGGACAGCTGCACTGTGGGAACCAAGTCAGAAACACGGCAAGCAGCTATGAGCTATCAAGACGAGCCGCGTACGCTGTGAGCGACTACTGCCCGCGGCAGCCTGTGTGACCTTGGCCGTTTCGACATGGAGCGGGCCCCCGCCTAAATCATGTAAACCGGGCAGCGCTGGATCGGAGCTATGGAGGGAAAGTTTGCAGTTGGGGCGTCGTAAATATGAGTGCTGGGTGCACGGCGGTTTACGCCTTACGCGAGTCGATAACAGAACGCTTCAACCCCATCATTCATGGCCAGTGGACGCACGTCCCCAACGCAGATGATGCCAGGGAACGCTTCCGCAAATGTTCAGGCGGCATGTTGTCCTCCAGCCAGCCGGCGGCAACTGCATCGGGCACAAGCGTGCCCGTGTCGTCACGCACGCAGTCGAGCATGCCTTCGGGTACGCCACGTGTGGTTCACAGCCGCGGCTATGACGAGGCGGGATGTTCGTCGTCGCAATTCGTCGCATCTCATCAGTGTTTTTGCCAGTGCTGCGAGTCTGCGAGAGCTTTTGTCAAGCACGCCGTTGGCATTTTGAGCAGATGGCTTTGGTGGAGATGGGGAGCTACATGACGACGTGCTACTCTTCCGACTTGAATGGCTGGACGACGCCTGGCTGCAAGAAATGCTTTCGGGATCTTCTTGGCAGCCTGAGATGGTTTGGCAGTGCCGCCTTTTATGTGACCCAATTAGATAAACGACAGGGCTCGCCATAGATACACGTTTGCCCAATGCCTGCTTGCGAGCCTAAGGTCATGCATTGCAGACAAGTGTCACTCGAAGTGGCAAGGCAACTACCATGCCTGGTGCTGAGCTTTCAGGAAAGTTGATGAGCCGAGTGAATCATGCAATTGTCGCAGGGCCTTTCTTGGTGCTTGTGGTTGTCTCTTAGCGATGGTTTTTGTCCCGAGGTAGTTGTCGGCGTTCCCTCTACCTGGGGTGCTACTATTCGAGATTTGGACAGCGCCAGGCTCAGTAGGGATGACCCCCGGAACGGGGTACGGAAGCGGCGAAGGGGGCTACCTTGCAACTGGGTCCGGGTGAATCATGTTAATGCTGAAGCCACCGTGGGCAAGGTCTTGGCGTGGGTGCCAGTCTGACCTGCAACCAATCGTCGCAACGGAGCGTTTGGCTGACCTTTATTTACAGCCGTGGAACAACAGATATGTCCCATAAGGGCCAGGGATGTTGAGCAGGGTGACGGAGGATCCTCATACCTCCCACAATCAGGAGGCCTAAGGACTCAATCAAAACGCAGCTGAACAGAAGTTGCGGATGAGGTGCTTACCTGCACTGGGGCGATTATGACGCTTGGATTTGGTCCAGCTGAGGGCCGTTCTGAAGTCAGCCCAGCCGAGAGGTGCCTCAAAAGGCATGCTGAACTTTGGGTGAGTCCTGCGGTTGAGCCCCTGGAGACCGGTTTATGCGGCATATTCCGTGTTTGACCGACGCCAAACGCCAAGTGATCTCCCCTTTGCTCAATGGAAAAAGGTGCCGGGTGCAGCTTGGTTTGGAACACAGGTGTGAATCTAGAGGTAGCCTTCGCACCGAAGGCTTTGATTGAGGGTTTTGCATGTCACAGTGAGTTGAAGCCGGAGGCAGCGGAGCGCAGTTCTTGTTGATGTTGC